GTGCCTCTTCCTGCAGCCACCCTACTGGGGACTGAGCCCCCAACCCAGGCATGTGCCCTGACCGGGAATCAAATTGGTTTCCTCTTGGTTTATGGGTCTGTGCTCAACCACTGAAACATACTGGCTGGGCCCTTATAAACCAAGGTTTAAAACCAATCTGGCCCATTTATTTTTAGGTTAGTAAATTTTGATTTGACTATTAAACTTCTCTAAATTGATTTTAGATATTGGAAAGGAGCTTGTTTTGCCATTACTTATTAAAATATAAAAAATAAACACTATTTTTACAATGGAATTATTTGTATTTTTCTGGAAAGTGCTGATTAATGGATTTTGTTAGAGATCTAGATATCTAAAGTGTCTTCAAGGTCTAAGATTTGTTTTATTCCTTGATTTTCTAAAAATATTTGCATAATCAGGTTCATCTGGATAGTTAACATCTTATAAATTGACAGATAACTTATTTTTAAGGTGAAAGTATGAATTTTAAAGTAACTTATTTAAATTACCTGATAGGTTAAACCTTCTCTCGATGAAGCTTTTGTCATCCAAGAACAGAATGTTGCACTAAATTTCATTGGCTCAAGAGGGGCAAAGCCTGGTGTCACTAAAGAGAAAAGAATTAAATATGCAAAAGAAGTCTTACAGAAAGAAATGCTCCCTCACGTTGGTGTCAGTGATTTTTCTGAGACCAAAAAAGCTTATTTCTTGGGGTATGTTAAATTTCATTGTTTTAAGTTCTTTGCAAAATATGTATTTGAGATGAAGCTTTTCTTAAAGCCCAAAATGTCAAACATGATGTTTTTAATAAATAAATTTTTTAAAAATCCCCAAACCATGTGTTTTCTTTTTCTCATCTTTTCTTTTTGTTTTTTGTTAAAGGTATATGGTGCATAGGGTACTTCAGGCAGCTTTGGGTAGGAGAGAATTAGATGACAGAGATCACTATGGAAACAAAAGATTGGATCTTGCTGGACCACTACTTGCATTTTTATTTAGAGGGTAAGAAATTATAAGATGACATTATTAAAAGTAGAGAGATTTCACTTTAGATTGGCATTGTATGTGGAAGTGCTAAACTATCATTCATATTGGGTGCATGTGAAGTTAACTATGTTCTCATTGCCCCTTGCCCAGATTTAGTTTTGCTTCATGTCTTTATCATCCCGCTAAAGAACCTCTGGACACTTGGCCCCCCAATGGCTCTCCCCATATATGCTTATGTTCTGTCTGTATATCTGTAATTTATACATTAAAAAGAATAATAACACCTCTCTCTCTAGACCAGTGGCCGGCAAACTGCGGCTCGCGAGCCATATGCGGCTCTTTGGCCCTTTGAGCGTGGGTCTTCCACAGAATACCGACTTCTGCGCATGGGGCACGAAGTTTCAATCGCACTGTACGTGCGCGCCCTAGACCAACCACTTTCTGTCCCCTTATGGGCAATATTGTCCCTGTTGAGAATGTATGCTGTAGACCTTCATATGTTAAAAATAGAACCATTTTATTTGGCAGCATGTTTAAGAATTTGCTTAAAGAAGTACGGATCTATGCACAGAAGTTTATTGATCGAGGAAAGGATTTTAACTTGGAGTTGGCAATTAAAACAAGGATTATATCTGATGGCCTAAAATACTCTTTAGCTACTGGAAACTGGGGTGACCAAAAGAAAGCTCATCAAGCCAGAGCTGGAGTATCTCAGGTAAAGATGTTGACTGTGATGACAGGCCTGATTGCAAAATGTTATGGGACTAGCAGATTCTTTCATTTGTTGAATATAAATTATAAATTATTTTGCTTTTTCCCCCACACTTGGTCAGATGTAAGAGCATTGGAAACTTGAATTATGAAAATGAAATTTTTCTTCTTTTTAAAACCTTTATCATTAAAAGTATTACATATGTCCCCCTTTTTCCCCCCACTGACCCCTTCTAGCCCACCCTTATTTCCCCAGAAATTTTTCTTAAATTAGCTTCTACTGTTACTAATAGAGACTTAAAGTTTTGGCATGCATCAAAATAGTTAATAAATTAGAGTAGCCAGTTGGAAGGTGAGATAGTCCATGTTAGTGAAATTTTTATGTCTTAAAAGCTTCATATTAGAAGTTGAGGAAAATATAACACTAAATTCTTTTTTTAAAATATATTTTATTGATTTTTTACAGAGAGGAAGGGAGAAAGATAGAGAGTTAGAAACATCGATGACAGAGAAACATCGATCAGCTGCCTCCTGCACACCTCCCACTGGGGATGTGCCCACAACCAAGGTACATGCCCTTGACTGGAATCGAACCTAGGACCCTTCAA